TTGAGGGCTCTCCTACTTGGGGATCATTCAGCTTCTTGAGGGTGTTTCCTCTGGTCTTACATGGCACGATGGGAGTTTTGCTTCAGGGGCTATTTGGTAGTTTCCTCTGCTCTTCCTGTCCTCCTCCTGCTCTGGAATTCCAGTCCCATGGAAGGGATTCCTCTTTGTGGTGCCACAGATCATGCTGGGGCTTCCTCAGTTTTCTTTGCATTCGTTTTTCTGATTGTTCTTCTGGCAGGTTGACATTGAGAGATTTGTATTCAACTGTAATAATTAGGACTTCATTGACTAAATTATACTTCTTTATCCTTCCAATAAATTATTTATCTCTGAAAGTGTAGTATTAATCTGGAATTCTATTTGATGTTTTTGTATGGTTTCTGATTTTTCATTTACTGTATATACTCGTGTATAAACCGAGTTTTTCAGCACTTTTTTAAGGCAATTTTTATGGTAAAATTAGGTGCCTCGACTGACATTTGGGTCAGTTTATACTCGAGTGTTTTCTTGAATTCCTCCAAATTTTTGTCAGTGTTTTTCTTGGTTTGACCTATAGCTTATCACTCTTTCACTCAAAACATTGACAGTAACTCAATACTATTCTTTTGAATTTATTATCAAGTATTTCCAAAGCCATTTCTTCCTCAGAAGGGCTTTTCTGAGTCTGTATTTTGGCCACTTGTTTGAGCCTTTGGGTCTTGTTTCCATGTGAATTGAATGGGCTGTCCCCAACACACTGTGGTCTTCTTATATTTGTATTTAATCGATGACTCCACAGTGGCCTGTTCTTAGGCAATTCCCACCGGCCTCCTGGTGAGTGTGATAGAGGACGTGGGTGTGATAGAGGACACGGGTGTGATAGAGGGTCTGGGCGTGATAGAGGACGTAAGTGTGTAATCAGTTCTCTGTGCACTGCTCGTGTGGTACAGTTGGAGCCAGTTTGGGCTGGTGTTAGTTTCTGTCTATTCTTGATCAGATGGGACAGGACCTTTCCCATTGGGTAGGGTTGCAGGAGGTATAGCTGTGGCTCGGCTGTGTTGGCCTGGTTGCTATCTCCTGCCTGCTGGGACGTGGAAAGAAGAAAGCAACAATAACAAATAAAACAGAAGTGAAAATAAAGAAAAAAACAAGCAAGGAAAATAAGCAAATGAAAGCAAGAGAAAAGAATTCAATAACCAAAAAGAAAAACAAGAAACACTTAAAAGCTTGAAGTTAAGCAGCCATCTAGCAGAGAAGCAACAAGCCCACATGGAAGAAGCAGACCAGCCTGTGCGATCACGAGGTGTCGCCGGGATCGGGTAAGAAGCATCAGAAGACCCCAAACAACCAAACAAAAACCCATGTTGTTGAGAACAAGGGGGCTTGGAGCAGAGACTCAAGGAAAGGATGAGTCACCCAGGGTGCAGTCTAGCACTGATGAAACACACTATTCCTCTTGTTCCTTGAGGCCCGTCCCCCACTATCATGACCCCAGTCCTGCCTTTCACTGTGGGCTAGACCGGAGCATGTACATAGGTACAGATAAGAGCTCACAACACACAGAATCCAGGTCACATAAACCCCTCAGGAACAGAGATGAGAGCCGTGATAGCTGGGGAAGGTAGGGAGAGGGGTGGAAAAGGGGGGACTGACTGCAATGATCGACATATAACCACCACCACCCACCCGACGGGGAGGATCAACAGAAAACGAGGAGGAAGGGAGACAGCGGTTGGTGCAAGATAGGAAAAAAGTAATTTATCAAGGTGGGGAGTGGGGAAGGAGGAAAAAAAGAGGCGCTGATAGCCAGGGCTCATCTAGAAAGTAAATGTTTAGATAATAATGATGGCAACCTATGTACAAATATGCTTGATACAATTGATGTAAGGATTGTGATAAGAGCTGAGAGAGCTCCAATAAAATGATATGAAAAAGGAAAAACAAGAAACAAACAAACAAAGGGGACAAGAAAGAGAAAATAGGGAAAATAAAGAATCGACAAAACTAGAGGGGTGGAGAGAAAATAAAATAGTAAAAAAAAAAAACGAAGAAAGAAAAGGAAGGGGAAAGAAGAAATCAAAGAAAAGGAAGAAAGAAAAGAAGATTAAGGGAAAGGAGCCAAAAAGTAGAACTTTAGGGGAGGTAGGAACTAGAGGAGATACCTGTTGGGGGCAGGGCACTTGGTATAAGCAGGTGCCTTCTGCCAGATGCTCATGAATGAATTCCTGCTGGCCTGGGTGTATGTGGGTCAGGGCATCCGAGCTGGACGTAGTGTGTGCTGGCTTAGAGGGGAGTTGAGATCAGTGTGCTTGTTCCAGAAGGAATTCTTTGGGACTTAGGAAGGAGGTCTTACCCTCCCAGGGATGGATGGAGAGAGGTTTCCTGTCCGGGGCTGCCCATTCTGCTGGTTTGCTGAGACTGGGGTGGGGTGGGGTGGGGTGCACACAGTGTCTAGTCCATAAGGGCACAGCTCAGACCTCAGACGGAGCAGCGCTGTGCAGGAACCACTAGCCCCTGGGTGTGTGAGGGGGAGGGGATGTGCTCCTATGTTCCTGGCCGCCAGGAGGGTCAGGAAAGGAGGGTTGGATCGCAGGTTTCTGAACATTCACTACCAGTGGGCTGTCAGACCACTCTCTGAAACGAATGCCGTTTGAACACAGTTCCAAATGGCCGGCTGTCATTTGTATTCTATCTCCTCTGTTGCTGCTTTCATTCAATGTCAGCATTGAATCCATTCCTCCATCAGCCCCAGGATTATCCCTATCCACGTTCACTCCATCTCTTGGGCCTTGGTTGTGCATGGCCTGGGTAGCTTGTCTAGTACACCAGACGTCCCACTGACAGTACCTTGGAAAACCTGTTTCCAAACAAAGTCGCTTCACTATGTTTCTGGAGGGGGTGGTGGCGGCACAACTTGACCTAGAACAACCAGAGTCCCAGAAGTAAAAGAACGAGGAAGAGGGTATGGATGTGGTAGAGGGGTGTGGTGGTGGTGGTGGGGTACTTGGCAGATGTAAATGCAGAGTGAACCAGCAGTGTACTTTGGGGTAGGATGCTTGTTGCTAGAAGTGTGGCACAAATAAGGTGAGGGGGAAGGCGGCTTTGGTTAGACATGTTCTCAATTTTGTAAGTGGCAGAGCCCACCCGGGACAGACAGACCAAGACCATGAGCGGTCAGCACTCACGACTCAGAGAAATGAAGGGCAACTCAGAGGTGGGGAACGCTGCGGAAGATAAGGCCCAGGGGAGTTGGACTTACAGGCCTTCGGTGTGTTGGTGGGCTTACAGAGACAGCTAAAGGGGGCTTCATGTCTGGAAGAAGGCCCTCGTGACTGGAGCTGTCAGGGGAGGCCAAGGTCTGCCGCCTTTAGGTAGTAAGCTTCATACATGTCTGAGCAAATGCTAGATGACTGCTAATTGGGGATGCCAAAGAGAGGTTTATGTACTACATGCAAGAGAAGTTCAGCTCAAGCCCTGACCCTGTGTGCCCCACCCGTGGTTTACCTATGCCGTTGGCTCTTGCTTCCTCATCTAGGAACACAACATTTGAACAGTTGAACACAACACACACAAGCAGCCAGACTTACATTTGAAGTGGCCATCCAGTGGGTAGGCCCTCCCACATCCCCTAACCCTGCAATCGCACCTCCCAAATCCCTGGGTCTGGGAGTCTCAACTTCCCACCCAGGACAGTATAACTAAGCACCTAGTTCTTGGCAGGACCCAGAATCTGATTGGCTCCATTATTTACACTGGCTGCCACCCTGCCTGGAGGGGGCACTTCTCAAAGGCCTCAGGATACATCTGTTTTCGCTCAATGTACCTGGAGACTATATTGAAAAGCCATGGAAAGCCATGTCCCTTCATCTATTCCTGTTTCTTGTTCTGCGCTCTCAGGCCCACTGTTCTAATTACCCCCAGTATGCTCCATCACCTGGGTCCTGGGAGGAACACCTAGAGCCATTCCGGCCAGGCAGACTGGTGTCTGATGGACTCTTCCTGAGTTTTCAGGACAGAGTTCCTTGCTACACAGCCCTGATAGAGTGGTAAGTTTTTCCTTGGGTCCAACTAAAATCTGCTTCCTCCTTTCGTGGCTTCTTCCCAGGTTTGCCCTGTGCCCTTTGAGCCAACAGAAGGCAGGTTAGCATTCCTTAGCATCGTCAGGAACAGCACACTGCACACCATCTTTCAAGTACACTGGCTCCCCACGCGAGATTGATTTTAGGCCACTTCCCAGCTGAAATGGTTAGAACGAGTAGTTCTTCATGTCCTCCAGTCCCCAGCTGGAACACAACAGCCTCACTTCTTTTCTTTTATTCTCTAATGGCCCAGGTTGTTATGAATGGTCCGCTCAGCTTCCTAAGCACAGTCAGTGGCTCTGTGGGCTCACCTTCTTCCTCTTGAGCATCCTAGTGCCTGGTGCCTCTGAGTGCTGAGAACTTGAATATCAAAGGGTTGGGCAAGGAGTGGTCTGGTCCAGCAAAATCATAAGGGGGATAGCAGGGGAGTTAGGTCAAGTTTGACCTAGTTCCTGCCCCAGGGAGACTGGGGTGCCTTTGCATCCCCAACCCCCAGATCTGCTCCCAGGCGATGCTGATGCTGCTCATCTGGGACCACACTTTTGAGAACCACCAAATGAACGTGGCAGCACTGACGGGGGCCAGCCAGAGGCTCTTCGGACTTGATCTGGGGGTGCCTGGATGAATGAGTCTTCTTCTTTCCCCTCCAACCCCCAGCCCCAGCACATTCACCTTCCTAAATCTGTTCTCCTCTGGTTTTGTTTCAAATCCCTTTGCATCATTGCCTGAGCATACCCTACCCCAGAAAAGAAGGTGGAGGTAACTGGGAAGGGTTGAGGGGACTGGGGAAGTCACCCCACAAGGAATGAAATTCCCAGAGTCTGCTAGCAGTGGTCTCTCCATGAAATGAAGTGACTGGCAGAGTGGGCTTCCTTTTGAGCCCACAACCCAGACCCGGTGAAGTTGATAAGTTTCTGGCCTTCTCTCTCCCCTGGGCTGCAGGAGGTGGACATTTACACGGTGAAGACGGAAGAGCTGTCATTCACTTCGGCGTTCTGCCTGCAGATACAGCGCAATGACTATGTCCACGCCCTGGTGACCTATTTCAATATTGAATTTACCAAGTGCCACAAGAAAATGGGGTTTTCCACAGGTGAGCTGCTTGGTTGATGCCCTTGCCTTGACCCTCGGGAGGCTTGGTAGGAAGCGGCTGTGGTGGTCTTGCCTGGTGTGGTCTCCGGGGCATTAGTCAGGCACCCCTACTTGGCATCACCCAAGACCTCTGCAGTTGGGAGTAAGTGCATATCAACCCCCCACCGCCCAAGTCTTGGGTACCAGAGGAGGAGGTAGAGAGAAGCCTGGTTGCCTGGCTGGGGCTGAGTGCTTACATTGGTGAGGGAGAGGCAGGAGGTGGGACCCAAGGATAGACCTCACCCAAGACTTTTCAAACATTGTTCATGTAATGAATGTTGACGGAGCCTAACCATGTTCCAGACTTTGTACGGGTGGGCAGGGTTGGCAGGAGAGTAGGAGACTTGTGTCTCCATGACCTCAGTTGAGGGTTCATTGTGCCTTATAGTAGACTGCAAAGTGATCACGGTCTCCTCCCTCCCTCCCTCCCTCCCTCCCTCCTTCCATCCAATCCAACTGAATTCCTCAACCAGGCTCCCGCTCCCACCATCCAGCTTCCCCTCATAGTATCTTATTGCTTGCAGTAGAAAAGTAGAAGTTTCCCAACCTGACAATGGGGTTGTATTAGTCTGGGTTGACTAGAGAAACAAGTTCATAGACATTCATATGTGTATAGGAAAGAGCTTTATATTGAATAATTGTACCTTAAGAAAACATCCCCAGCCCAGTCCAGATCAAGTCCATAAGTCCTATATTAACCCATATGTCCAGTACCAGTCTGTAAATTCCTCTTTAGACTCACATGACACATGCCATGACTCCCAGTGCACGAAGATCACAGGCCAGTGGGTGGGAAGTCTTGTGGATCCAGTGGTCATGGAAGCATCTCAGCACTGGCGTGGTCTCCACGTGGCTCCTCCAGCTTCAGGGCTTTGGCTCCATCAACATAGTTCCATGGGGCATGTCGACAGGAATGTCTCACAGGGAGTGAGCATGTAGCCCACTTCCAGCGAGCTATTTATCTCCTTCGTGCCTCCAAATGAGGTCCAGCTGCGACCCAATTGACAGGCTACACTCTACCCCTCCACAAGTTGACACCAGATTATCTAACTGCCGCAAGGGTCTTCTTTGACCTGGCCCTAACCCCATTTATCACCTCCTCCTGAGCAAGTTTCTCGACTTTTTGCGAAAGCTCTCACGCCACTGAAAGCCTACCTATACTGAGCTCCTGCAGGTTCCTGCACTCAGTGTGGCTTCCGGAGTCTCTGAGCATGTCTCTGCACCCCAGTTCCTTGCCCATCCAGGCTGCTCTCTGGTGTGTGTGTGTGTGTGTGTGTGTGTGTGTGTTAGAGGTGGCTCTTCTCTATCAGAAAGCTTTTATCATCTCCCTTCCTCCTCTGTCCCGAATTCTTCACCTGGCCAACTCCAGCACAGGCTTTGTCATTCTGCTCAGGGGTTATCTGATCTCCCCTTTCCTATTGGGGCCAGGGTTAAATATGCTGCTCACAGCTCCTAACACCCTGGCGGAAGTCTACCATGACAATGTTTAAAGTGATACTTACTCACAGTAATGAAAGAGAGACAGAGAGAGAGGACAGAAGACCGTGAAAGTCCAGGAAATTTTCCTCCCCATGATCTATTCTAGTCCTACTCCTCAGAGATAAATAATATTATTAATGTGTATCTTACCAAAACATTTAAGTGGGTGCACAAGCCCATACTTTTTAAAAATAAAAATTTTGGGAATAATTATAGACTTACAACAAGTTGCCCAAATAGTACACAGGGCTTTTAAAGCCCTTCACCCCACTTCTTCCATTGGGGGTCTGTTAGTAATTATAGCACAACACGAGAACTGAGCTTTAACAATCATAAATTGGATCATGGCATACATACTTCTCTCTTATAGTTTTTCTTTATTTAACTGTATATCTTATGGAATACACACTTCCCTCTTATAGTTGTTCTTTACTGAACTATGTCTCAGAGATACTTCCATAACCTTGCAAAGGTATCTATCCACTTTCTTAAACAACTCACAAAATTCATTGTAGGACATGCTACTATTTCTTTAACGCCTATATTCTTTTTACAGCCATTCGTCTCTTCTGGATAGTGGAGTAGAGTCATACTTCATTGATCTCTGCACTCATTACTCTAAAAATCATGCTTCAGTCATGAGAGGTGTGAAGCAAATCTCTTTTAAGTGATTGGATGACCATTCACATATTTACTATTTTTTAAAAACCATTTTATTGGGTGCTCTAACAGGTCTTACAACAATCCATGCATCAGTTGTATCAGGCACATTTGTACACGGTTGCCATCATCATTTTCTAAACATTTTCTTTCTGTTTGAGCCCTTGGTATCAGTTCCTCTTACACATATTGACTTTATGTGAAATGTCCTGGGAATTGGGAGAGAGCGGCCTGTCGGTTGAGTGTGTGTGTGTCTGGGAAAGGAAGGGCGAGTTCTGCCTGAATTCAAGGCTATATTATTTACTTCCTGAAATGATTCGGCTAATGATCCCTTTTACCCATGGGCAGAGGAGATAATTAGTGTTTCTGGACCACCAAGACCAGGATCTTCTGGTCTCCACCATTTGGCTAGTATGCCTGACCAGAGAAAACTCAGACCTCTGGTTATGAGTGGCACAACCGGCAAGTTCGTTTTGTGTGTGTGTGCAGGGTGCAGGGGGGCGGGGGGTGTCAGAACAACCAGGAGGAGGGCAGGAGAGTTCATCTTGACCAAGACTGGGTAAACCTTCAGCTCACAGGAGTGAGGGAGTGAGGGGCAGTGAGGGAGCTGAGGAGGAGCCTGCTGGAGGACCATGGTTGTGACTGAACAGTAAGGAGGGACCACCGTGGGTTCAGGATGATGCTAAGTCAGAGCCTGCCCTGCTACTGGTGACGATCAAGTCAGTGGGCACAAAGAGCAGGCTGTAGAGGTTTCTGGGTCTCTGAAGCGTGGGATACAGTTTCTTGGTACAAGGTCCTTCACCGAGCCTTCCTTTCTCCAAGATGATCAGCCAAGCACATCGCCAACTGTGCCCCTTTTCTAGAGACACGCCTGGTGCTGTAATGGCAGGGAGGGCATCCCTGAAGCCTCTCTGCAAGGAAGGGCACCTCATCAAGCTCAAGTCTGCAATCAAAGAAGTCTTCTGCTGGGGAGGTAGTGAGGATTTGCCATCAGTGTTGAGGTTGATAGCCCATTGATTGGCTCGTGCCCTTCCAATGCTTTTGTCTCACTGCAGCGAAGTCCCATACAAGACCCTCTGCAAAGGACTGATGAGGGAGACGGCTCATGATTGCAAAGACCCTGGCTCTGCACTGGTGTGTGAGCCTGCTCTTCTGCCCCTTTGCACAGAGCCCCAGACATTTAGGCTCTGAAAGGATATGCTGAGGCCCCCTAGTCCTCTGCTTCCCATGACTTAGTCCCTTTCCCCCCACCCCAAACACACAAACAAACAAACAAACAAATACACTCACTGCCAGCGAGTCAATGCTGACTCATAGCGACCCACTGTGGGTTCCTGAGACTGTAATTGTTTACTGGAACAGAAAGCCCAGACTCTCTTCCCGAGGAGCTGCAGGTGGTTTTGAACTGCTGACCACGTGGATCACAGCCCAATGCATAGCCACTGCACCACTGGGGCTCTGTGAGCAGTTCTTAAATATGATGCCAAATTCATTCGGGGCGTTAGTGTCACCTGGGAAATGCACATGCTCCAGCCCTTGCTCAGACCTGAATGAGAAGTTCTGAGAGGCGGCCCAGCAACCTGTGTTGTAACGAACCCTCCGGGCCATCCCCACACATATGCAAGTCTGAGAACCACTGCTCTGAGACAAGCCTGTTCTGAACAAGATGGTTCGGGATTCGACCAGTGTTGGTTGACTCCATTTGAGGAGGCACTTCTGGCTCTTTACTGAAGCATGCCTTCTTGTCTCTTCAAGACTTGAAGCCTTTGACGGACAAAGATCTCTGGCTGCCACCTGCTCCAGAGTAGATAGAGGTCAGGGGCATGGAACGTAACTGTTTGCCAGCTCTCTCGAGGCCTCAGTGTGGGACTTTGCTGCAGTCTTGTAGCGGATTTCCTTTCTAGTTCGTGTGGGGTTGGCAGCGGGTGCTCTAAGAGGGTCCTCTACACCAGCAGTCACCAATAGCATATTTCCTTCTTCGCCTTTAAGAGCCTCAGATGCACAGAATTAGCTGAATCATAAACCTTGGTTTGTGGCATGCTGGCATCATCGGCCCATGCGCGGCTTACATGTTTATTTATTAAATTATTTAATCTATCGACTTTTACTTATTTTAATTTCTTAGTAGGTTAATATGCTTTCGGCAATAAAAATATCACTTGACTTATTCGTAGGATTCTTGACTGATACAGTCCTTTATTAGTAGGATGAGCATCTATGAGCTCACCACCCAGTGCAGTAACTAGAGCATAGACGGAGTGTAGTCATTAACTAGATAAGAGTTGGCAGAGACTCAATGGCAGTGAATTTGCTTGTTTTTTTTTTAAGATGGTAAATAGTACCAACAGATACATGTATTGTTATTTATTAGACTGTGAATATATTAGTTGAGATCAGGCAGCAAACTGTCCTTAATTGGAATGGAGATGTGCATGAGGAGTATATTATTCATTATTAGAATATTCCTAGTTAGCATGTAAATAAATGGATTCCTATGCACATAATGAGTCACTGTGAGTCCCCACCTTACTCAGCTGCTACCTGTACCTTTGCATCCATCTCCACGGGCCTCTCCATCCTTTAGAGCTCCTCTGGAGGAATAGTTCCCTACATTTTCTGTTCCTTATTCCCTTGCCGCTTTTAAACTTTTTGCCACATGTATGTGTCTGCTTCAACAGCCTCACCTGGTTTTGAACTCCATGCTTGCTGCCTCCTGCTCTGTGTTCCAGCTCAGCCCAGCCTTGGCTGACTCTGGGGCACACTCAGCTCAGAAACACAGCATGAACTGGGCTACTTGAATATGAATCCTCATATTGGCTCCGGTGTCTGCAGCTCCCAGAAACCATCCCAAATGGGCCCAGAAACCTAGGGGTCCGGGCTGTGCCAGTCAGTGGGCAGAGCTCCCCCACCTCTGCCCCTCCCTCGCCCATCTCAGTAGGGGATAGGGGCATGGCAGGGGTAGAAATGGGAGGCAGGCTGCAGGCCATCTTTTGCTTGGAGAGCTGTGCAGTGGGGCGGGGGCAGGGCAGGAGCCTGAGCAGTAGCAGGCTTGGGTTTGAGTCTTAGCTCTCCTAGGAACCAGCAAGACGCCCTTGAGCAAGGTACCTTGGGCTCATTATGGGGGAAATGAGTAGGCTGTGCTGCTGTGTCTACTTACCTGGTAGGCCCTACCCCGGTTTGATGTCTTGAGACATGGAGCCCTTTTCTAAGGTCAGAGGAGCTTTTTTTTCTATTCTGCGCAAAGCTTGTGACCATATAGTTCAAAATATATAGTCAGAAAAAAATATTGGAGCCCAGAAATAGCTCCCAGCCATGCAGAAGTGAAACGGGATCCTACAGTGCTTTCCAAAGCACTGGGGAAAACCTCCTCCCGAATGGCTCTCATTTATTCTCTCAGCTCCCTCTGCTCCCAGTCCCATCCTTGATCATAGCTTCCACTATGTTTTTAATACTTGCCCATCTTCTCACTTAAGTTATAGGATTTACCGGGGGTGGGGGTGGGGTGGGGGCTCATCTGACTTAAAACCAAACCAACACAGCTCAACCAAACCCAACCCAACCTACTCCCGTGAAGTCCTATAGGCCCGACGAGAATTGGCTCATAGGGTTTCCAAAGCTATAATCACTTTTTACAGAGCAGACTGCCTCGTCTTTCTTCCGTGGCCTTCTGTTTAGCCGCTCCTTCCTCTTGGTTACTAGTGGTCCCCGGATTTAGAACCATGCCTACCTGAATAAATGGTAGATCATAAGTGGATGGATGGATGAAAACATGCACTTGCACTTGGGACTCCTGGTCCTGCTCACTTCAAAACAGAGATCAAACGCTGGCTGTGATCTAGAGCCCAGAGACTGTGATGGGGAAGGCATAGGGGGTGCGGTGGGGGCTATAGGGGAGCTGGTCCACGGAGACAGAGTAACAACAGGAGGAAGTCTTCAGACTGGGAAAAGCTGAAGCCACTTACACAATCTTGATGGTTATAGGCTGGGCTTGAGGGAAAGATGTGTTCAGAGGCGAAGAGACTTCCAGTTGTCACCCACGGCCATTCGTTGAGGGCTCAGTGTTGTGCAGAGGACCAGCCCGGCTACTTCCCCAGGCATTTCAGACCACTGAAGCGAAGCAGGACACCTTTGCGGTCCAGTGTCATACATGATGTCATGTACCACATGATGTGGCATTAAGTTCTATGAATAACTATCTAGTGCAATGGCTTAGAAGCACCTGATATGGCCATTGAGAAATCATGCATCGTTCAGTGAAGGATACTTTTTTTGAATACAATTTTCCAAATCTTTTTCTAAATCAGTTTTGAACTTTTTAGTACAGTTCCATTCAACAATTCACACACATTTTGTTTCAAGATGTGGGTTGCAACCCCCTTAAGGTAACAGCCCTCTTCCCACTTTTCCACCCATCCTTCTTTCCGGCCTCCAGCAATTCGGAGACTGGAAGGGCGAGGCACCGATGCCCCCCCTCAGGCAGCACATGTAAACTGGAGCAGCTGCAAGCACTATAGGCTGTTTGGCCATCCTGTGCCCAAGTACATTTACCCTGTTTTCATTTTCTCAAATCTCCCCAACCCCTCCGAGGTGCTGTATTAGCATCTCCATCCTTCAATTGTGGAAAAAGAGCCCCAGGGTCAGAGCACCAGGAGGTGGCAATGTGGAATCTGGACCTAGACCTATTATTTCTAATTAAGTGTTCATTACAGGATGCCTGCCAGGAGATGTCAGCTGGGTAGAGACTGGCATGTGCAGGGAGTCCAACGATGAGTGGGCATCTGCAGCGGGCGGGGGAAGGCAACCTGACAAGCCTGTCTTTTCCCAACCTACCGTGATTACTGCATTTACATCTCTTGGCTTGGGAGTCAACCATCTGAATGTCAAATACATTTCTCCTGGGCACCTAACTGATAACGAAGATTAAGAACACGGGTGTAGACCACTAATCCACTACTAATGGACCCAGCATGAAAAAGATCAAATAAGAACATTAAAATCGCACGCAAGTAAAATTTTGCTGAAGACAGCTCAAAAGAAGTGCAGATGTCAAAACTGCAAAACAACAAATGTGTCGTGGGCTGCCAGAAGGAAGAGAAACCTGCCTCGCCGGCAGGTGAGCCAAAGGCACCTCCCAATGGCCATGCTTCGTCTCCCCTGCTTCGGGCCTGTGGTCTGGAGGGACCCTTTCCTGGAGAAGGACATTCTACTTGGCAAGGCAGACCATCAGTGAAAAGGGAGCCGGAATGACCATGGCGACCACCGTGGACGGTGATGGTTGGTGATGGTGACGGTGATGGTGACGGTGATGGTGACGGTGATGGTGGTGCAGGACTAGGCAGGGTTTTGTTCTGAAGCACAGCTAGCTGATGGCCGAGAGGCAGGCAGCACCTACCCAGGTAAATCGGACCCACAGGTGTGCAGGGGAAGTTCATAGCCTCCCGCGGCTGATGCCAGGGAAGAATACTACGTGCCTCCAGCCCAAGGCTGGCACATCTTTGGAGCCACCAGCAGAGGCGCAGTGCTGGGAGGCCAGGGAATCGGAATCTCTGGGATTCACACGGGCGTCTGATTAGGTGGCAGGAGGCTGGTGAGGGCCCTTGCCTGAATGTGTTTACGACGAGGAGAGACACCTGTCTGCGCGGGCGTGGGTGGAAGTGGGGGTGAGAATGCTGTCAGTCATGCCCTGACAACCCCTGTACGTACCCAGAGAGTCTTTGTTGATGCATTTGGATGTGTAGTTGGCAAGGGGGGTGCTGGAAGCAGGTGGGCTCTGTTAGTAGACAGCTGTGTGCCTGAGAGGCCACAAATACTGGGTAGGCTTGGGGACCCGGGGTTTGAGAGACACAGATTGTACGCTCAGGATCCTCTTCCCCTTCCAACTGCGCAGGCGGCTGTCTCTCCCCCCGACCTTGAGTTTGCATCGATTTCCCAAATGCTCTCATTTAGATAGAAACTCAATTCTCTATCCAAACCACTGACATCCGATCAAGTCAGTTCATTGCCGAGGGCAAAAGAAAAAAAGAAAAAAAAGAAGCTGTTCAAGTGTTTCCCCCATCAAAAAAAAAAAAAAAGTTTAAAAGCATCTTAAATGCCACTGGGTTCACATACCCAGAACACATTAAGTCACTATCATTGAGTCTATTCTGACTCATAAGGACCCTGGAGGGGCAGAGTGGAATTTCTCCTATAGAATTCTGAGGCTGCAAATCTTTCTGGAAGCAGAAAGCCTCATCTTTCTCTGGCTAAGTGGCTGGTGGTTTCCAACTGCTGACCCTGAAGTTCACAGCCCAACCTATAACCCATCACACCACTAGGACCCCTCGGGTCCCAGCGGGTGTGCATCTGTACTTACTGTATGAACACACTTGGACTGGGTCTCATCTCACGTGCTTATAGAATCGCATGGTCCTGCCATGAAGGCCATCGGCGAGGTCACGTACCTCTTCTGCAGGATCGTTCGGAAGCACTTGGAAGGCGCGGGTTATGTTCCCCCAGTACTTTGATCTTGAGCCCTGACCCCAAGCAGCGGCGTGTGTGCCTCCATCCTGGTGCAGGAAAGTATGGGCATGGCGAGCCAAGAGGAGCTGATGCTGAAATGGCCCCAGGGTCACTGAGCATCCAGAGAAGGCTAACGTGCCAACAAGTCTCTGCTCTATGGATTCCTGCCTGCACGCTTTCATTCGACACAGGAAGCGCTCCCAGCACCGTGGTAGGCACTGAAAGCACAGTAGTCAACCAAGCTGACGTGGCCCCCACCCTTCTGCAGATGACAGTCTTCTGGGGAATACAAGCCAGTTAAACAAACAAACAAACCCGAGGCATTTATGCTACAGCGTGTAATACCATGATGCTTGGAATACCTGGATCCAGGTGGGGTGCCCAGGAAAGGCTGCTCAAAAAGAAAGGACTTGGAAGGATGAGAGAAGGTCTGGGAAATAGGGAAGGGAAGGTGTTGCAAAGACAGATGCAGGCCCAGGAGAAAGAGGGCCTGCAAGACGCTGTCCCTAGCATTGAGCTCCAGAAGATGGCATGTGCTGAGAGGAGAGGGGTAGAGTGAACAAAACATGCAGAAGGAGTCAAGCATCACGGGGGCTTTGAATCGTGCAGGATGAATGACGGTGGGCCAGAACTGGGGCTGTGGGGTGAGAATCGCGCTCCGGGTCCTTTTCGTTCACTTTGGAGTGAGAGGAAGGGCCCCGCTGAGCCCCATGACACACTGGGCCAAGAGCTCGGGGTTCAGTTCTAAGGCGCATAGGCATGAGCCAGGGAAGCTCTGAGGGGGCGGAGAGCAAGTGCATGGGATGTCAGCCTAGTTGTAGAGATCAGCAATCCCGAGAGACCCGGAACTTGACGGGAAGGTGAAGTTGTTGAGGGTGAGTAGGGGTCGGGGTCGGGGCTTGCAACCAGGCCACAAGGACCAGGCACCTGATCCCCAGGAGTGTTAGGGGGTTCAACAAGTCCCAGGGGAAACCCAGAAACATCTCCTGTGGGGTCTGGCGTCTACCTTTCTGGAGACAGCTTCCCTCTGATTCTTCCTCCCCATCTTCCCTGTCCCCGACCCTCAGCTCCTGATGCCCCCTACACTCACTGGAAACAAACTGTCTTCTACTTGGAAGATTACCTCACCGTTCGGAGGGGGGAAGAAATCTACGGGACCATATCCATGAAGCCAAATGCCAAAAATGTGGTAAGTGTCAGGCAGCTCCTGTGTATGCCAGAGCAAAACCCATACAGCTGAATTCTGGGGGGCACCTTGGAGGGGACCCACTTGCCAAGGTTCTCGATGCCTTGTACAGAGTTTGGGGGGCGGGCAGCAGGCAGTAAGAAGCCATGCTTGGCTGTGCCTGGGCAAAGCTGAAGGACTTAGAAACTCAGGAGCTTTTCCTTGGTCCCCCTCTGGGCGCAGCTTCCGGCGCTCCGTGTGAGGGGCTGGAGCACAGAGGCTGTTGCCGGGGCTTCACCTCCTTGAGCAGGCGCAGGCGCAGGCGCAGGAAGGACCCGGATCTGGTGGCCTGGAAGTTGCTGGTCCCCATTCCTGCACTGTCCCGGAGGATTGGCGCCCTCGTGGCCCTCTGTGAGCAGCCTTGAGTGCGGTGGACACTAAAAGACCCGAGAATTTGGTTTTTGTTTTGTTTCGGCGAAGCCACAGAAAGATGCCACTATCCAGTTTGTTTTCCCAGAGATGAACTCAGAGGGGACATTTTTTCTATGACAGGAAGGATAGCAGTGAGAAATCAAAGCGCTTTCCGGGAGGATAATGACGCCCCAGCACAGGCTCCTGGGGGCTGCTGGGGTGGGGGTGGGGAGCGCCTCAGCTATAAAACATGAAGAACACAATAGCGACCTGTACCTCTGGCTGCTGGGAGGCCACCTACCCGGAGGCCTGGGCATGTCTTGGATGGTACATTAGGCGTAACGTAAGGAAATCAGACTCACACAGAAAGCAGGCAGAATTTAGTTCTCAGGGGGCCCGCGCGAGGGAAGGACAGTCCACCTCCAGGGAGGGTCACACAGGAGCGTGCACCCCAGGACAAGGTAACAACCAGCTGGCAGTAAGGCTCCTTGGTGTTATAGTGTTTACGTTGATCTGCTAGCCACAAGGTTAGCAGTTCCAAACCACCAGCCACTTCTCGGGAGAAAGATGAGGTTTTCTACTCCCATAAAGCATTAAAGTCTCAGGAACCCACAAAGGCAATTCTAGCCTGTCCTGTGGGATTGCTCTAGGAGTCAAAATCGACTCGATGCCAGCGAGTTTATTTTATTTTACTTTTTTAATGTGGGTCAAGCAACGTGAGCTCTCCAGGTTAGTGCATACTGAAGTTTTACTGGTCAGTTTAAAGGTCCACAGGAATCATTTGGCCTTGGCTACTAACCCAAAGGGTGATGGTTCAAATCCACTCATCGGTGCCAATCTACTTACATAAGATTCACCAAAACTACACAAGACAAGCCAACAAACCAAGCCCCATCTAGTCCATGGGACATGTGGAGACCCCATGTGCATCACCATTGGGTTTGCTCGGCTATTATCTTTACAGAAGGAGAGCATCACCCAATGACCGTGGACGAACCCCAAACCAAACGCCAACCAAGCCAATCCCAACCAAGGGGAAGCCCAACCAAAAAAGAACCCCCGGGCCGGAAAACCTCCCCAAGAAGAAGAAAAAGGGCCTTGAAAGTAAGAAGCCAAAAACTAACCCAAAACACCAACAACGCCCCCAACCCCCCCCCCCGGGCCCCCTGAAGGGAAGGCAAAACCGGGAATGCCAAGGGGTGGCCGTGAACGGACGTGATCGGCTTCCAGGAAGGGAGGGCTTTCCTGTAGGCAAAGGGGGCGCTGGTATCAGGGGAGACAATCCAGGCATGGTTGGGAGGGCCAAACAGAGCCTAGAGCTGTTGACGAGCTGTGTGAGAAAATAATATGACATCAGAAAGTGGGTAGCAGGACAAGTAGGGGAAATTAATGCGTGACCAGGCAGCAAACGCTGTTGCCTGCAAATTAGCCTGACACCCATGACTTCTCACACAGACCCGGGCTGTGACGCTTTGTTCTTTCTTCGCAGCGGGACCTCGATTTCACTGTAGATTTGGATTTTAAGGGACAGCTGTGCGAAACATCTGTATCTAATGACTACAAAATGCGTTAGCACACGCGGGGGAACAAAAGAGCCTCTCGCCTCGGTCTGCCGCCCTTGCACCGAGGAACACTGCAGGACTCCACACTTGAAAACTGCAGGCGTCAACTCTGCCCGGAAGACTGCTGAACTCATCAGGGCTCCCGTGAGCCCTGCTTCCAGACGGAGAACCTCCCGGCTCCCGGGCTCTGCTCGGGGAGCCCCTCGCGAAGGCTTTCTGGGCACCAGGAAAGAGCAACCCCGAGTGCTGTGGCAGGTTCCCCCAGGACGGAAAAGTACACATGTAGACCCATTGTCCTCCTTAACTGTGACTCTCTGGATCTTTCACGTGTTGCATGCTGCAGGCATCTAGGACAGATTGCTTCCACTAGAACTTGGAGACGTAGTGTTGTTGATAGCATAAGCGAGACGATCTGTCTGTGTGGTGGCGTGTGTGTGTGTGTGTGTGCGTGGGTGTGCGTGCCTATGGCATATACATTAGTTTATTTGCCCACAGCAGCTGTATATGCATGCATATACAACCCAGTGGGTAGACGTGTGTGTTCATTCAGGGGGGTGTGCGCATGTGCGTGTGCGTGCGTGTGTAGAATATATATTACTCTCAGAGGAGATTCTGTTGCTTTCGAATAGGAATTTGTTTCATGATTAGTTCCTTCCCCCTCCCCACACCTTAACAGATGTTAAGCAGGTAGGAAATGTTCTCTGTGTTCGCTCTGGTCTCCTTTTGATTAGACCGTGGCTCTGAACCCCGAGGTAGACCACGCACCCTGTGGGCGCTCAATAAATATACATGAGTGAAGCAAGGGGGCATCTGTGTGTCTGGTGCTCTGGATGGGGCAGTCTTGGGGGTGGTGACAGACAAAGATCATCCTGGGGAGCAGTCTCTGCATGCGTGCATGCAGCTACACTTGCACCCTGAAGGAAGGGACCACAGGGCTGGCTCAAGAACTTCTCCTCTGCAGACTCCTGGAGAGGTGGGGAGAGAGTCCTAGGGCTGGGGGGAGGGCACCTGAGCTAGCTGAGAATGCACCAGAAAAGGAGGCAGTGTGGAGTCCAGAGGGAGCCAAGGTCTGCCAGCAGGTGGGCATGGGAGGTGGGGATGGGAGGTGCCCTGGATGCAACCTGGAAATCCCCACTGACAGACAGGTGGTGGCTTCTGTGAGATGAGACTTGCTTGTCTCAGGAGCTCAAATGCCTCAGACCTCACCGCAGCACTCGGCCATGCCAGGTGAAGCTCATTCTCTTCCCCTGGGACGGATGCCCGGTGACCACGTCCTGACTGAGGCTAGATGGACGGCTTTCCTGACAGGATTCTGATGGACACCAACCGAATGGCCTAGACTTGAAATGTGGGATGGCTTCCCACCAGCTGAAGGGAAACAGGTAACTGAGGCCTGCAAGAGGCCCAGCACTGTCTCTGTCAGGATGGAGAGACAACGTGGCACGCCCCCAGGTGGGAAAGACACCCCCGCAGCCATGGGGGCAGAGTCTTGGTTTCCCAGTGCACCTGTAAGAGAGAGAGCCTGAGCGGATGGCTGTAAAGAACAGAAATGTATTTTCTCCCAGACTCCGTGGCTCTGCAGCATTGGTTTCTTCCACATTCCTGGGCTTGTAGAGGGTTCACACAGGGCGTCTCCCAATGTCTACACTGTTCTTTCTAGGAGCTCAGGAGTGATTAGGTTTAGGACACACCCTTTATGTCAGGCTTCAAACTACTATGAAGCAGGCTTCAAGCTATTAAGTCTGGCCGGCTTCAAGTTATTGATTGATGGACGTGTGGGAAGGGATTACGCTGCACTCGGTAAGATGACATCCACAAGTAGAGGGGTTGGGATTCCAACACATACATGGGCATGGGGGACCCTCAATTCCATAACAGACAGCAAAGAGAATTGATGGAACCTGGAAAGAGGGGGCTGCCAAGGAGACCCACGGCTTGAGTGTGCATGGTGGGAGCAGACTCGTTGGGATGGGAGCACCCTCAGAGAACAACAGAATCTACGGGCAATGACCCTGGCCCTCTGACATCTACAGTTTGCTGGATTCTCCAAAGCTGTGGGGGAATTATTACCAAAGGTATGACCCACCCATTTGCAGCTGAGCCATATTGGGACAGTGGAGCCAGGGGCCAACTGTCGGGGAATCCTCCAGCCCCACTTGAGCAGCATGCACTCTACTCCTGATTCCCCGAAACCTCAATCTTGGAGGGAAAACTCTCTTTGCACCTAAAGCAAACCCCAAACCTAGCTCGCTGCCATCGTCTGAGCTGACTCACAGCGACCCTCCTGTGGGTGTTGGAGACTGAAACTATTTGCAAGAGTAGAAAGCTCAGTTTTTGTCCCATGGAGCTGCTGATGGTTTTGAACTGCCAACCATGTGGATTGCAGCCCAACTTGTAACCACTAAAGAAAACCCAAACCCAAACTCACTGCCATCCGGTCGATGCCAACTCATAGGACAGAGTAGAGCTGCTCGTGTGAGTCTCCAAGATGGCAACTTTGTGGCAGTAGAAAGCCCCGTCTTTCCCTCTCAGAGTGGCTGGGGGATTCAAACTGCTGACCCGAAGGATCGAAGCTGAACGTGTATCTACTACACCAATAGAGAGAGCATCATTTATTGCTTTTTGCCTCTATGTAGTGGACCAGAAAAATACATAAACTTAAAAGGTGCTAGGAGAGGAAAGGAGGTTGAAGAAGGACATCCGGTGGGCACAGAGGCCTCTCTCTGAGGTCACCTGGGGAGGGGTAGCTTCATTAATAAGTGTCCATGTGATACGAGCTGGAGAGACCCTGCATTCCAGCAATTACAGTCGATGTAATCTTGGACAAGGGAGCCCACCCAACTTAGGGAGAATTCCCCCCATTGTCATCTGGGGAAAACTCTACATTGCCAGGAGCCAAGTCGAGCTGACAAGGAGGATGAGCTTTGGGGGCTCTACGTACTGGGGCTGAAAGATGAGACGTTCTACTTCTCAGAAACTCACATGGCAGTTCTGCCCTGACCCATAGGGTCGCTAGGAGCCAGCAGCAACCCGATGGTAGTGAGTAGGTGTGATACTGGGGGAGCCGGGCATGCCCCACATCCCTGGGCCCAGGCAGAGCAAAAGCCTCGCAGTCTTGTCGGCTTGTCCAGACATCAGCGGAGAAGAGGACCACTCCATGGGCCTACCGTGCACTGGGGCGTCAACCTCCGCTCCAGGGCTGCTGGCGTGACATCTGGGAGGCCCACAGGAAGAATTCCACAGCAGCCTCCTTCTTCCCGCCCCTGGGAATGTCCCGGTGGGACTAGTGATTGCTCTTTGATTCCGAGGAGAATGAGCACCCTGTGCTTCCAGCGTGTTCCGAACGGAAGTCAGCGCACCAGTAGAAGGTGAAGCCATGGCTTGACACCAGAGATGCTATAAAGATAACTTCACCTTTGAAACCTTCCTGACTCTTTATTTACCTTTTCTTTCCTTCTTCGTTTGGAGACTGTACAAAACCCATCCGTGACTCTCTTCCCTGTCACTCTTCTCCCTCCTCGGGGACTGTGTTCGTCGGGATAGACTAGAGAAACAAATTCACGGAGACTCTCATATGTGGTTAAGAAAGAGCTCTAGATACAAGAGCAACTGTACATTATGAAAACATCCCAGCCCAGTCCAGATGAAATCCATACGTCTGACCTTGGCCCATATATCCGATACCTATCTATAAAGTCCTCTTCTGACTCATGAAACACATGCAATGACACTGAATGCAGGATGATCACAGGCCAGTGGGTAGAAGGTCTTTGGATCCAGTGGTGGTGTAAGCATCTCTGCCCTGGCAGGGGCCTCCACGTGGCTTCTCCAGCTCCCAGGGTTGCATTAGGATGGGTCCACATGGCTTCTCCAGCTCCCAGGCCAAAGCACCGTGTGTCTTGTCAGTAGAGCATCTCTAAAGGAGTGAGCAGGGAGAGTGTGTGTTCTGCCTCCAAGGAGGAAATCCCAGAGTTTTCCCAGAATCCTCAGGGCGAAGCCATGCCCCCACACAGGCCTCATTGGTTATATCTTGATTGACAGGCCAGACTCCACCCCTTTATTCATAATCCTCTCAAATTGACACCAGATGATGTGACTACCATGGGGACGTTCTCCCTTCTACTTCTGGCTCACAGCTCCCCAAACCTACCTTTTTTGTGTAATGTTATTTGGACTTATTTAGACCGAAATCACTGCTGGTTCTGAGGCCCATTCCAAGCATGGCCTCTTTCTTCCACTAGACCAGAAGCTCCAAGGGGCAGGGACCAGTCTGCTTCTGCCCGGAGTTCCCCCTGCACAGAGTCGTGCTGCAGGTGGGAGGTGACAGGGCAGGTGACGGCAGCACATCCCTGACTCACATGGACTGGGTCACCAGCCACTCTAGGACCACCAGGCTCTGAGCCCTTCTTCCCGTATTTCTCGGGATATGCTGACATTTGCTCCAGACTCAGAAAAGCCACCCCAAAGAAGCTGTCTCCTCTGCACAGCTGTCATACTTAGTTCCTTTTAAGACAACTGGGACCCATGGAGACCTCCTTGTACCGCAGAGTAGAACCACTCCATGGGCTTTCAAGACGTGTCCAGGGCAGACACCGGGCCTACCTTTGAGGGGGGTCTCCAGCCACCAACCTGTCAGCAAGTAGCACTGACCGGTTTACTTCAACGAGGGTCTCCCGTCTGAGACAGAGGCCGCCATCAACCTCATGCAGAGAACCGAGGTTTCTGGCCCTCAGGCTGTGCCGCCTCTCTCTGCTGGGCACAGTGCCTGATACCGCAGCCCAGCCCATCCTGGCTCCAGACGATACGCAACAGTAGCTGCAGCAGCGGTGCCAGCCCCTCCTGTGCTCCAGGGGCTCACCTCCCCGGCGGTTTGTCCCCGACCTGGTGGCTAGTTCCAATCTGGGCTTCCGTACTGCTGGGATTTCAAGTCTCAGGTTCGAGAGACTATAAAAGCTCTGTCTTATTCTTGCAAACCCACCTTACTCCGCCACTGAGAGCCTCTGGGGGTCTTGCTCTTAAGATAGATTCTCTGTCTCGGAACACCAGCCCCGCCCTGTGGGTACCTCACAGCTGGGTCCAGCCCTACCTACAGGGTAGCCTAGTTTGTCTCAGACGTTGGGCCCATGCCCCTGGCCTGTTTTCTGTCAGGATGAGCCTGGAGGATGACTGGTCCCCTCACCACCAGCCTGAGCCACAATGGTGTGTTTGGTGATCAAAAAGTCTGTCGATAATTATTGACATCTATTGGAAGCAGACTAGGTTCCAGGCCCTGAACTAGGCACCAAGGACATGACAAGTGTTTCATCACACCCTGCACCTGTGCTCCTAGAACTCAGTGTCTGGGGATGAGTCTCAGGGAGGCCTGCTCCTGGCCAAATATTCCAACGCGAGACTCTTCCCTAACTGAGGCTTCCTAGCCCACGCTCACCCTGCCCTGTGCCACCCTGGGAGCCACACATGGATTGTAGCCCTGCTTCACACACAGCCCTGCGTGAAGGAGCCGGAAACTTGTGTTTATCTCAGCCTTCAAACCCAGGAAGCAGAATGATAATGTGCCCACGTTTCCCTAATCTATGTGAATTCCACAGGAGGGCTCAGCCTGCTGTTTTCAGAGTTGGGCAACTCTTGAGGAGGTCTTGGTCGTCGCCCGCCCCTTTGGAACACGAGGTCATTTCCTACAATTAAGCTCTAAAGACAGTTCACCCACAGTTGCTGTTCGTTGCTCTCCAACTGATTCGGGCTGGTGGTGCCCCTTGTGCTGCACAGTGGATCTGCCCCATAGGGTTTTCTCAGCTGCAATTT